AGACCAACTGCCGGGCCAAGATTTCCTCTCACAATGAAAGGGCTGTAGTTCCCACGCGGGTTCAATGCGAACTGGGAACTTGACACACATCATTAAATTGCTTTGCAAATCTGTGCAGGTTTCTTCACGATCTTTTTCTTCACCGAAAAGGTCATGGTAAATTTCAAATTAAATTTCGTATATAAATTTAAAAAAACTCAGCAGTGCCAGCTCGGATATGAACACATGACCCTCTTGAATTACGTGGGTCAAACCATTAGGCTACGACAATCACACATGATATACACATAATAATGATTTGAAATCTAATTAAAACAAATACTATTGAATTCCTGATTTAAACAAACATTTACTGTAGAGATAGTACACTGGTATTTACAAATTCTTGCACTTGGCTCCCGGCTGCATTTTCAAGTCTCTTTTTAGAATCCCTATTCAAAGCTAAGTTTGAATTTATCTTTCACGCTTGACAGACTTGCAAAGTGGATTTCGTAGCGAAATCATAGCAGCACTAACAATGACATGATGAGCTTTCTAAATTAAAAAATCCTTACTTATAGTTTATTAACAAAATCGTGCCAACGTAATTATTGTTAATAACATTATGCTGATTTTGTTCGTTATTAATTAATTATTTTATATTAATAGAATTAATAATTATTTTTTGTATTTAATTATAAATCCAGCTTAGGGTAATTCTGTGAATCCTATTTCTTTGCCTAAAAAATTTATGGATTGAAAAATATTATACGCTCTTGCGTAACTGGAATTGCTAACCTACTTGTTCAGAATATCGATCAAGCCCAACCGCCCTTTATTTAGATTTTTTACTTTCAATAGTGGTCTATTTATAGTCTAGAAGCATTTAAAGATCTCAAAAGGCTTTATGGTTGATGCGGAGGGCTATTGCGGTGAAATTCATTAGGCATTTCAACATTCAATCTTCATGGTATTGTGTACAAATATTCACTCATTTAATATTAACAGAACGCTCTTTTAACTAAATTAAATATGCATTTTACTAGCTTTGTGCAAACTAAACCAACCTATATGATTTACACGTACTTTATGTCCATAAATATCGTAGCCTAGTGTTAATTTCGCATGCAAGCGAGCATCGAAAACTAAAATCGGAACAATTAAATTAATCCCCGCGCATTAGTGCTGGCCAGACTAGCTAGAATCGAGGCGTCAATGCTAGTTCGGAAATGAAATGTATTCATTGGCGACATTTTGATTTATACGCCAATTCACTATGTAGTCTGATGCGTATATTAAAATACGAGTATTTAATTTCCATGCTGAGCGATATTGTGGTTTTACTATTAAATACGTTACAAACTACTTTTATAAGTGTTATTATTGATAGAAAGATGGTACAAACTTAAAAAAAAAATTATCTGATCCGGCTCGATTCGAACCAGTCACTGTTTGTCAGCTAACCGCTTCCACAACTGAGTTACGGAACGAATCAACAGACCTTACGAATTTTTCTATGCGCTTGTTGTCGTCCTTTCTTTTCTTTATAGGGCTTTTTTGCCGTAGCGCCATCAGTGAGAAACCTATGAAAGTTTTTCTTCATAGGTTTCTCACAGATGGCGCTATGGCAAAAACGGCCACTTAAATCAAAAAACAAAGATCGGCGTCGACATTAAAGCTTTTTAATTTTCTTTCGATGCTGCCAGTCAACGCGTGACTATGCGTAAAATCAATCTAAGGCTGGTTTCACAGCTGTGCCTACGGTCCGTACGGACTGTCCGCTTGCCGGCCATACGTATACGAAAGAAATCGCATTGCTCTGAATCGAATATTTCATTTAGTGCGGATATTTACGGAAGACAGTCGCCTACAATGAACGCACGGGTGGCTTGTGCGGAGTTCACGTGGAGCGCGTTCCGTACGGAGCAATTCGCTTCACTGTAAAACAATCTTCTAACGCCACACGTGTTACTCCGCTCCGGTGCTGCGCGCGGACGATCCGCAGATAAATCCGCACTGCTCTGAAACCAACCTTAATATCGAGAGTAATATGGATAAAATCTTCTACTTTAATTTTTTAGGACGTTTTTTTACAGACTACGTTTCTCTATGTGCTTATTGTCGATCTTTATTGTTGGGTTTAAATGACTTTTTATGGTCTGGTACGACAGGGAAGCCATCCTTATATTCAATAAAAACCGTACAGAGTACTAAAAAAACCGACGCCAAAAGTCTTTCATGTCCTAGTTTGCTACCCTTAGAAGTGGAATATTTTCTTCAAATTTAAATGGGACCACATCTGAGGTACCCTCTTTCCAACAAAAAAAGAATCATCAAAATCGCTTCCCAATTGCCGCGGAGTTATCGCGTAACATACATACAAAAAAAACACGCTTCGAATAATAATTGAGAATCTCCACCTCATTTTGAAGTCGGTTGAAAATAATTATTACTTTTACGAGTCTTAATTTCGTCACTGCACTTCCGTTATTTATTTCTGTAATACGTATTGTGACATATTAGTATCCTCGGGCCTAGTAACTTCGTTCTGAGAAAACCCTTGGTTGTATATATGGATTTATTCATACTAGTCAATATTTCGAAATGAATCGTTATTATAGTACGAACACAAACAATTACTTTATTATGTAGGCAACAGTAAATATCTAATACCAAAATTTACTACAAATCATTGGTAGCGTTGTTTATTAACCAACGACGTGACATAGACATTAATAACGACCCAAACTCGGTAATGTTTCAGTGGTTACAATCCTAGATAGAGGTTCAGCGGTGGAGTATTAACTATCCAAATTATTCCGGTTCATAGCGATTCTCGATACCGGTACTCAGCGACGTAACGCGACTCTGAAATCGATGGGGATAGAATACAGTAAAGCAATTTATTTTGTGCCCCTACGGGTATATGCAAGACGCCCCAGGACCAGGCCTGGTGAAGTCACAAAGCGAATTATAATACACAGTCGAAATCACAAAACTCTCAGTCAGATGAATCAAGTATTGACGAATTATTCAATACACTGATTTAAAGTTTCACGACTTTTACACATTATTTGATTGAGTCTATACTATCTCAAATAGCTTTGGTTGATTAATATATACGCATAACAGTGTAAGTGTTGAAAAATGTGAAATTGAGGATATACTCTGATACACTGATATGTAGCGGTGGCAACTGCTAATTGTGCAATGCGCAATGGGAAGTGAGCGTGCCTACAGCTCCGGTACCTATCTGGAAAATAGGGAGGGTACTGTACGTGCACCCGGGGCGGCTCACCCGAGGCACTAGCCTTTGGAAGAACCGGATGAAGTCAAGTGAGAGAGGTCGGTGGCAACCCTGTGCACTGGCTGATCTGGGGTCAGAACATGGAACTTTTAAGGTTCCTGTGCGCGCACAGGTTATAGTCTCCTTCTCGTATAGGTAAGTAGGGAGGGTCACTATAATCAAAACTAACGTAGAAAGATATGGTGCTTGTACACTGATACAATATAGAAAGAATTTTCACGATAGAAAAAAACACAAACTTACCTTGAAATTTTATGAGAAAACCGCTGTATTCAATACGGATTTTACAAGTACCTTCTTTTTTAAATATCAACTGAACTGAATAGAACACTTATATTATACGATATACATTTTTCGAATTACGTTAATGTTGTTTGTAAAAAAATAAATTGTGAACTAAAACCAGTGATCCTGCCGTTCGTCCTTAGCAAAATGAACCGTATTAGTAGGGGAAAATTTTGAATTCGGGCTAAGGTAGTATCGACTCTTCGTGTATAAAAACATATTTTATGTACGAACAACGGCACATCAGACTACACGTTTTTGTTCGAAAATAGCCTCCAGTGCAACGGAACAAGATGCGTCAATAGTAGCTTGATGTGCTGGCGTGTGTACCTCGACGTTTTGCAAAGTCCATAATATAATATTAACCTTAGAGCTAAGTCCAAACTCATGGTACCACGATTTCGTTTAACCAAGGTAAACAACTCTTTTATGGGGAACTGTATACGTTTTTACAATAAGATTCCGGAGCATATATTAAGTTTATCATTTCCTAAGTTTAAAAACTACATTAAAAATATTTTGATCGAAAAATCATATTACAAAATTGAAGACTACGTGTTAGATAAAGATGTATGGAAAGACGACATGGCTCCAGAATTCACACAAATTTGATTTAAAGTGTATTCCATAGCATTTAAGTTTATTTGAAAAGAACAATCCCTAGAGTTTCTTGCTCGTTCTTCTCAGGGAGGTCAGCGTAGTGAACGAGCAGTAGCTTAAATGTGACGTTTTCAAGTGTAAATTTATTTTACCTATGGAATAAATGATCTTTGACTTTTGACTTTTGATATTTGACTTTGACCATGGTCTCGAAGGAACGTCGAGGTAATTAAAATATGTTCTTATACACGATTAAGTCCCGAATTTAAAATCAAATAATAAATTATTCAAAGCGTAATAAAATGTAATATATGTGCGCGCGCCTTATTAAATTCAACCTTATTAAAGTTATGTAACAACAATGAAACGAAGGAATATTTTGAAAAAATATTTACTTTTATACATATTTACAAAGGCAACGTAATGAAATTGTATATTACAGTACAAAGGATAAATAGAGAAAAGGTGTTTTGAAACTGAATGGTGAATAGAAACGTCAACAAAGAAAGGGTTTTAGACTGAATTTGAATGAAGTACATGCTTGTAAAGAGATATTTGTAAAGCGAAATCATTATACATTTATTGTTTACAATCAAAGAGCCTTTGAAATAAAGTTAACGTAGTTTCTATTCGACTAATTTCAAAACACTTGTTAGTAGATCAAGTACAGTTAAAATTTTAAATGTGTATCTTTTTAACGCTCAAAATCCGTATGATATTTTACACAGATTGGGCTTTTATATAAGTTATTATACATATATGATATTCTGAATTCGCGTTCATTTTAGCAGTTAGCCACAACTGTTGGCTGTTATGCCTATTATAAACTTTTGATCGTGCTAATGCAGTCAATGTTGCAGCAATGTTTATATCAAAAATGTAACGTTATGAACAGCTTTTATAGAGCCCATTGCTTTGTGTCAACTATCTATTTACATTGTCTATGTTTACTAAGCTACTTAGCGTAAAATTTACAATGTATAAAATGGTATCAATCTACAGTCAGATAGAGGTTGCAAACTCTATGAATTGTGGTGAAATATATATACAAATTGACTATGAATTATATGTATATAACTTAGTCTACACTACATCATCTGAAGAGTAATGTCCATAGAGCTACCAGGAGAGTATAGACGACATCGGAATAGATTGGTTGAGCGTCACTTGATAGAGCGCTGGCGTGGCATTCGGCCTCATCTGCACGTAGTTGTAGAAGTGGGATTCGACGGCCTTGTAGGTCTTTGCACGTGGCACTGCGCACAGCTCTTCGTAGTTCTGCACCTGCGTCGTTTTCTTGCAGCCAGCGCCGCAGCCAAGCACCCAGCCATGCTAGCTCGCATTCACATCGCAATGGGTTGCCAGTCAGGATCAGACCACCTAGGAAAATATTTCTAATATTATTGCTATTCATTTATTTTCTACGTTATAAAAGTTAAGATAACCACCATGTTTGTGATTCGCAGTGTTGGTTGTAATAAGGCCATATCTGCAAAATTACAACTTTACAAGAACAAGCTTTAAATATTTTATCAACGAATTTAGTCGATACTTTTTAATTCGTAAATATAAGTGTTTCACATAATTATATATAATTTGTTTCTGTATAGTGTATATATATATATATATATAAATATATATATATATATATATATATATATATATATTATAATGTATAAAATTATTTATTTTTTTGACTTTCTTAAGTGTCCTTTCTTTTGACGTAATTAGCTCATGTGGCTTTATTAAACAGAGGTTACGAATTGTTGAAATTAACTAGGTAGGGTACAGAGGGTCGATGTTAACGGTACGAGATCGTCAGGATCTGCAATTAGCATGGGTGTCCCTCAAGGTTCAATTCTAGGCCCATTTTTATTTTTAGTTTATATTAATGACTTACCTAGCCTTATGGAGAGTATAAAACATGAGATAGTATTGTTTGCTGATGATACTTCCTTATTATTTAAAGTTAAAAGGCACCAATGTTCCTATGACGATGTGAACAATGCTATATCTAAAGTAATTGATTGGTTTGCTGTTAATAACCTACTTCTTAATGAGAAAAAAACAAATTGTGTGAAATTTACATTACCCAATGTTAGAGAGACGGTTACAAACATTGTAGTTAGAAATGAAAAATTGAATCTTGTGGATACAGTTGTATTTCTAGGTATAACGTTAGATGCTAAATTGCAATGGGGTCCCCATATAAGTAAGTTATCAAAACGGCTCGGCTCTGCAGTGTACGCGATTAAAAAAATAAGGAAACTTTCAGACGTCGAAACCGCTAGATTGGTTTACTTCAGTTACTTTCACAGTCTATTGACATACGGCATTTTGCTTTGGGGTAATGCCGCCGATATCAATAGAATCTTTGTCCTGCAGAAACGTGCAGTTAGGGCAATTTACAATCTGGGCCCCAAAGTATCTTTGAGAGATAAGTTTAAGGAAATTAACATTCTTACACTAGCCTCACGGTACATTTATGAAAATGTAATTTATATTAAAAGGAATAGTAATTTATTTATGAAAAATAGTGACAGACATAACATTAATACGAGGAATAGAAATAAACTAGCTTTTCTTGATAGTTGTCTTCACAAAGTCAAAAAATCATTTAAGGGGCAATGTATACGCTTCTGTAACAAGATTCCGGTTGATATACAAAATTTGCCTTTCACGAGGTTTAAAACTATAGTGAAACAAAAACTTTATACTAAAGGTTATTATACAACTTCTGCGTACTTGGATGACAAAAATCCGTGGTAGTAACCCGTTTAGCTCATGGAGGTAGTCTCGATCTCTGATGTTTCAAATAAAAATAAAAAAATATTGTAAATGCTATTTACAAAGAGCAACCCCTAGAGTTTCTTGCTCATTCTTCTCAGGGGAATCTGCCTTACGAATGAGCGGTAGAGTTTAACCATTGTGACGATTTCAAGTGTAATAATGCTTACCTATGAAATAAAGATTATTTTGAGTTTGAGTTTGAGTTTAGCTGAGAGGTTTAGTTCTGTAACATTTCTTTTTTCTTTAATGTACTAGTTATAGAGGAGGGAGACCTTGTGATACAGGTTAGGTATGAAAATACTAAAACAAAGTTTTAAATTTGCATGTAATTTTCTTCACTTACGTATTATACAGGATTATTTGTGAAATACTAACAACCTCTCAGGACTGTATTACTAACATCATAAACAAGAACTTTTGTTCAATGGCTTTTTACAGAAAATAATAAATTTACCAAAAATAAATGTTTAAGTTTTTGTTGTACTATCTAACACTTTTTGATCGTATTTAGTAGCAAATTGTTCAGCGACTCTTCCCGATCGCGAGCTTAATTACCAGACAGAGCTATCGCTTTTTAAATATCTTTACTTTTGTACGAAAGTAAAATCTGATAAATTGTTCAAAGTCATGGAACGTAAATTGTTGTTTATGTTATTAGTACTGCAGTCCTGTGACGTTGTTAGTATTTTACAAATAACTTATATATATTTGAGATGAAATAAAACAGAATATTAAACTATATTTCGGACTAACGTTTTGGGCGGTTCATAGGTCTAAAGGGCCCTTTATAAAGGACCAGAGACATAGGTTTAATATACTACGATACGGAATAAAATATTTTACAATAACTTATATCTTGCACTATGTAATTGCTTAAAAAACTAAGAAACTCGCACACAGTTTTGTTGAAACTGTATTTAAAGTAATGCAGGTTTTACGTATGCATGTTTATTACGTTATAATACAGCATAGCGTTACAAAGGGTGACCTAATTTTATTAATCTAATTTAATTCTTTCTAATTTCTAGTATTTAAGCTTTTATTGTTTGTTTTTATTATTATTTTTTTATGTAAAGAAGGAGGCAAACGAGCAGACGAGTCACTTGATGGGAGGTGGTCATTGTCGCCCATGGACATTTGCAAGATCAGAAAGTAGTAGTAGAGCTCCTTGTGAAATAGTACGTCCAGAGTAGTACTGCCACCTTACCTATTTCTGTCGCCAAGCAGTAATATCAGCAATACTGTGTTCCGCTTTTGAAGGGTAAGGGTGCTGGTGAAATTACAGACACATGGGACTCGTCAGTTTATGTCTCAAGGTGTCGGGTGTAGTGGAAGTGCCCCTCAGATCTTTGCTCTTTTAAACCTCTGAGTGGTACTGCAACTGTTATGGACAGGCGTGTAGCTTACCATCAGGCGCACGACTTGTTCATCCGGTTCGAGGAAGGAACGAACGAGATGTCCGCGTGGTCTTAATTGGAAGCATTGGCCAGGCATCTAAGATATGGGAATGGACTCTACTCCTTTGGCGGGAGGTGCGATGGTGGTAACGAGACGCTGGCACCAGTTCGAAAATTTCCTTTGAGCATTGTCAAACCCATTACAAAGACTTTTTAAAGCTTTTTTGTTTATGTATATAATAAACTTTGAATTGAGTTTAATATTAATGCAAACCACAAAACGTTAACACGATATTCAAGTTTTGTTTTGGTTCCATTTTTTTTATAATATCAAATGACGGTACGAACAAGTCGTGCGCCTGATAGTAAGCTCGTCCGTCCATAACAGTTGCAGTACCACTCAAAGCTTTGAATCGCAAAGATCTGAGGGGCATTGCCACTGCGCCCATCACCCTGCGACATAAGTTGGCAAGTCCCACGTGCCTGTAATTTCACCAGCACCGTTACCCTTCAAAACTGGAACACAGTAGCTAACATTACTGCTTGGCGGCAGAAATAGGTACGGTGGCAATACTTCCCTGGACGAACTCTGTCACAAAGAGCTCTATTGCTTACAAAATAGTACATAAATGTTCTATCAACCAATGTTAATTTAGTTATTATCGCAGACAATGTTTCAAATACAAATCCTAAATATTTAGAGGTACATTAACAATTCAAACTCATTATCCGGGGTTTTAACAATTTCATTTTAAAGTGGGCGCAATCATAATGGAGTTGCTTCACAAACGCCGCGCAAACGCCGTCTAACTTACATTTTTAATTTGTCCATATCTACAGCTAGCGTGATTACAGCTCTTAATAAAGTTCGTAACAAAACTCATTTTAGTTTTGCATATTTAAGTTATCTTTCGAGCTACAATTCGCACGAGAGGCTCCAATAACTTAATTACTTTTTGTGCTCTGTGCATTTTGCTTTACTTGCATCTAACTAGAGAAACGTCCTTTGAGTATAATTCTTAAGTGTGACAACCTCAATGGCCAAGCCAAAGAAAATACTCCACTAGTTTGTTATATTTATTAATACAAAGATCGAACACTCAGAAAAAATTCCTTCGATCCGGCCGGATTCGAACCGACGTCTTCTAGCTTACCGTGCCGGACGCTATACCAACTAAGCCACGGAACGAGCCAGCGCACCTCACGAATTTTTCTATGTGCATGCGTCGTATCTTCATCTTCGTAATTGGTTTTTTCAACGACTTTTTAGTCGTAGCGCCATCTATGAGAAATCTATGAAAGTTTTATCACCCAGTTAGATATCTTTACAGTTACCACTCCTGGCAAGAGCTGTCGCTATTTACTGTATTTAAAATTTTTGTTGAATTGATATTCAATTATTTTTTGTGAAATTACTCCACTAGTTTGATATATTTATTAATACAAAGATCGAACACTCAGAAAAAATACCTTCGATCCGGCCGGATTCGAACCGACGTCTTCTAGCTTACCGTGCCAGATGCTATACCAACTAAGCCACGGAACGAACCAGCGGACCTCACGAATTTTTCTATGTGCATGCGTCGTATCTTCGACTTTTTAGTCGTAGCGCCATCTATGAGAAACTATGAAAGTTTTATCATCCAGTTAGATATCTTTACAGTTACCACTCCTGGCTAGAGATGTCGCTATTCACTGTATTTTAAATTTTTATTGAATTGATATTCAATTATTTTTTGTGAAATTACTCCACTAGTTTGTTAAATTTGTTAAAACAAAAATCTATATATTATTTGTATATTATTGTTTAAGAATGGATATTAGAAATAAAATTAAAGTTAAAATAATGGATTTGTTTGAATAACAAATAATTGAAGCGATTTAGATCCGAAAAACATACTTATAGCCTAGATAGTAATAATTATTAAGTCCATACACTTAAATACAAGAATATAGGAACTTAATTATTATTAATTATAATATATTAGACAACATCACATGCATTGCTTTGATCCCAAAGTGGGTAATTAAACCACTTGTGGTATGGAAATCTGAAACCACTGTTCCACAAATAGATAGTTAGAGACAATATAGGAAAGTTAGTTTTCTATATTCGGGATCGAACCCAGGATGGCAACATCATAAAAACCGGTGTACAAGCCAATCGACCACTGAGGTCTTTGCTACATGGCTAGGAAATAGTCAAAAGAAATTCCATTTAAAATAAAAAAAAATTATTATATATTATAGATGTTTTCTACTAGCCGCTTTAAGTTAATACTTAGGAGGATTAATTTACCTGATAGCAATTTGGTAGCGACGTGACTCCAGCTCGTGAAATTTGGGTAGAAGATGGCTGGATTAAGCGATGTGAGTTGATTATAACTTATATCGAGGCCCAACTGCGGGACTTGCCCGAGGTGCTTCATAAACGCAGTGGGCAGTTTCGTCAGCGACGTCTTAGTTATCCTTATAAATATCTCCTGAATCTCAGCAAATGGTTCGAAAGCTTCGTCGGATATTCTTCGCAAATTTGCTCCTCTTATTTCTAAGTAGCGAATATTTCTTGCATCAATCCCGTGCAGTTGATTAGTCATAACTTCGTCTGTCCAGTGAATTACTAGTTTATACAAGGATGGAAGGGAGGAAGTGATGTTAGAAATGCTGAAAGTAGAATGGTTTATGGTCGACCATGTCTGTAGATGCAGAGAGCGTAATGATATTAAGGGACGGAAGGAACCTTGATCAACTATGTCTAAATATTTGAGCCCGTTCAAATTTAAATGAGATAAGTTACTCAACCATTTGAAACTATTTGGCGTGATTCTTACTATAGGGTTGAATGAAACATCGAGAATGTTCAAATTGTTAAAATGAAACCACATTTTTGGCACTAAAGAGGTAAGACGGTTATGACTAAGGTCTAAGTGGCGAAGATTTGCCAGTCGCTTAACATCAGTCTCCTTGAAAATGTTAATATAATTTGAAGTCAAATTGAGACTCGTTAAGTTTGTCAAAGGTAGATAAGGCACTGATTTTAAACTTACGTTTGCAAGATTCAAATGCCTCAAGTTGGGAAGATTGTGAAACAACTCCTTAAAGTTTGCCTTCAACGAGTTGAAACTAAGGTCCAGCTGACGCAATCCTCCCAGGCTGGAAAATGTGTTATCTGATAGTACCGTCAGCAGATTATGGCCTAGATTTAAGCTTAGCAAGAACTGCGTGTTGCGGAAAATGCTATTGTCTAAATACTCTATGTGATTATGCGATAAATCGAGGAACCTCAGCGTGAAACCGATTTGAGACAAGGCTGTTATAGGGAACAGCGATATGTCATTGTAGCTCATGTCTAGGTGTTCTATAATAGTGTTTTTAAACACATCTCGTGGCAAGAGTCTTAAGTTATTGTGGTCCAACTTCAAATATCTTAGTTTATGTAAATTATAGAATTGCTCAACGGATAATTGAGATATATAATTAAAAGACAGGTCTAATATTTGCAAGGACGCTAAGTTATTGAACGATTTTCTTCTTATATTACTTAAACTATTCTTATGTAAATCTAGTATTTCTAAGTTTATAGCTTCCCCAAAAGCTTCGCTGGATATGTGAACAATTTTGTTGTGAGCTAAAATAATTTGCCTAATGGAAAATTCCATTGCAGTGAAGAATTCATTTGGCACTTCGTGCATATCATTATATGACCCGTCAAAAATATTAACAGACATTCTAGAATCGCCGCCTTCTATAAAACGTATATGGTTTCTGCTAACGTTTAAAGTGAACATCATTTCTTCATGCGATACATTGTAAAAGGAGTTCAGCGATAAATAAGTAAAGTTGTTGTCTTGCAGCTCCAACACTTCCAGTTTGGGTAAATTTGCAAAGACGTCCGCTTCCATCGAATCGATTATGTTGCCCGCAAGAGATAAATATCTCAAGTTCGGTAAATTTGTGAAACTGTACTTAGTCAAGTTGTTAATACGGTTGTAAGATAAATCTAAATTTCTTAAATCGGGCATCTTTACAAAAGTTTTGCTTTGTACTGAACTAATAAAATTATATGCAAGTCTCAGATCGCTGAGGGGAATCGAGTCATTATGACCATCAACTACGATGTCCACGATTCGATTATAGTCAAGATTTAAATATTTTAAGTATGGAAACGCGACCATATCTGATAGTCTGAGTATATGAAAATCGTTATTATCGAACGATAGCCAACCGAGATTCTCTAATCCCTCTTCAATCTCGAACGGGAAATAACCGCTGAACAGCGTCGAAGAGGACTCTATAATGTGCAAAGAACCTGTTACGTTCGAGAAAGACTGCGGGTGTACGTAATACAAATCGTTAAAGCTCAAATTAATCTCCTTTACCGGCATGGTAGCAGGAAAAACGTTCTTATAGATCTGAGAAATCCTGTTACCTCGCAAGTTAATAGTCCCCAGAGAAGTGGACCAGTCCAGGAATTCGCTAGGTAACAAATTAGATATCCTGTTATAGCTTAAGTCGAGATAACGAATAGAGCCGGCTTCGAGCATTTGAAGCGCAGACGGTATTGAAGTTAAAAAGTTGCCAGCGAGCGAAAGCGTTTGGATCCGGGGCGGCAACGCGGGCGATTCTTCTAACTGGTTGTACGCCAGAGATAAATGGCGTAGCCGCGCAACCTGAGCCAGGCTGTCCGGCAGCTGCGACAATTTGTTGTGCTCCACTTCCAAGTGCTCCAGACTGTTTTTCACTGACAGAAATACGTCGCGATAAATATAATTCACTTTGTTATACGACACCGACAATCTCTCGACTCTATTATTAACAAATACTAGCCTCGGAATGACCGTCAGCTCGTTAAAATCTAGAATTATCTGTCGTATTTGGACTTCTTTGAGTAGGATAATTTCGGAACTATCGTTAATTTTATTGTTACTTAAATCTAATTTCTCGATTTTTTTAGTCTTATTACTAGCACAAGTACTATTCCTATCGAATGATATGACGTTGTGCCGTAAATGAACAGATTGTAATCTAGGAAGGTTAAAAAATAAATCACAGGATACTTCATGTAAGAAGTTGTTGGATAATTTGAGGAGGGTGAGGGAAGCTGGTAGGGAGTCAGGGCTGATGACGCGCAGGTGGTTTCCCTCCATGTCCAGCTGCAGTAGGTGGTGCAGTGACGTCAGGGCTTGAGACTTTAAATGCGTAATTTGATTGTTGCTTAAAGATAAACTTGTCAACGTTTCCTCTAAGTGATGCCATTTGACTTCCAACCCGACTTGTGCCACGTTATTGCTAAAACAAATGTTATCGTTCAATAAAATTAATCAAAACCACCAATTATAAGTTTGATAGAATTTGGTTTCAAAAGTTTGTGCTTACTTCTGTAGATTTAACCAGTTTAAAACTTTTAAGTCTCTCAAGCCTTGCTGCGGTATTTCAGTGAATTCGTTGTAACCGAGGTCTAGCGAGGCGAGCGTGCCCGACATAGAACTGGAAACAAACGATTTCATTTGTTACTGCTTCCCAGGCGAACCGAATATCAAGAACAAAGTGAAATTACATATATTGTATACCTAAACGCATGTTGTTCGATGTAGTGTAATTTGTTGGCTACTAAAACTAGGGTTTGTAATCTTAGTCCGTCCAGTGCGCTCTCCGAGATCACTTCTAGATTTGACATGCTAATGTCCAGGTGTTGCAGTTCTATCCGGGGCCATTCTGAAATATAACAATTCATTACGTCTACTATACTTTTTAAGATAAAACTTCGAAGTAAATATGGAAATAATTATTTAACGTTGTTCCTTGAATCTACAGAAAAAAAAGAAATTTGTTTTTACATTGCAAAAACTTTGCACAGGCCTGAATGGAAATTCAACGAACTGTGAAAGTATAGCACAACATTCTATAAAAATGTGGCTTCTAAAACTGGAATTATTTCGAAATTTTTTTGGTACATTTTCGGTTCAGTTTAATATGCTATATTTATATTACTACTTTAGCAATATCAGACAAGAAAATGTCTTGTTTCTATGCTGGGTGAATAATATTATTACTAAACACAGATTTTACAGACAGACACAATACATCAAAGCTATAATTATCTTAAATAAAAAGTGAACAAAGCACTTATTTAATTATGAGTCAAAGTTTACGCTTATAACTGAATTAGTGGAAAGAATAGTTTCATTTCCAAGAAGAAAATTGGCTACTTTTGTTTAAAGTTAAGTTGAAAGTGGTTCACAGCTGCGAAAGACGCCAAACGGCCCAACTTTACACTCGTACCAGGAAGGCGCAGTACGGTCTGCGATGCAAATAGGACACAAATGGAAATTTAACAGGAGCATAATGAAGCGCAAGTTTTTCGTAACGAACTGGTAAATTTTACTTTCTTTTAAAGTCTAACTACAGACGGTGTTAACGAAATCTTTAGCAGATTATTCGAATCGGCTGTTTACAAAAATAACAGAAAATGACCAAAAAGTACAGTTTGTGCAGTGTTCATTGGAGGTATCGAAATATTCTTAAAATTTTGGATTTTCTACAGCTACCTACGTAAGTTTACAACGGTCAAAAAAATTCTACAAGAAATTCGTAGCCGGTGGCTAAACTTTTTAAGACAGTTGTAACCAGTGGACATAGGAAGTTTAACTTTACAACTCGATCCGAGGTTCATCATAACTCGGAAAGTACCTGGGAACCGGTGCAGCGGTACGGCGATGCATGACATGTGCTGTGCGCGGCACGAGCACAGCGGGCTGCCCTCACAGGGCTCGACGCGTTCAGGGGCGAGCGTGCCCACCAGTAGGCACGCCACCAGGGCCGCTCGCTGTAGCACCCACGTGCATCCATCGCCTAACACCATCACTGCAACAATCATGCTCTGTCATTATCACAAAAAACAAATCTTTCTCAAAAGATTATGAAATCTCTTGAATCTCAAATTGTGAAGGTTGTGGGAAAGATAAAGGTTTGACGGCAGGCAACACATTCTTTTAAAATAAAAAAATAAGTTATAGAATTTATTTAAGACAAATTCGCTCAATATTGACATTGATGAGATGCGATACCTACCAAAAAAGTTGCAACTTTTTTTATACTGTCAAGTGCGGATACGAACAAGTCGTGCGCCTAATGGTAAGCGACACGCTGCGTCGGTCACTAACAGTTGGAGTGCCGAGACATAAGTTGAAACGTTCTATGTGCCTGTAACTTCACCCCCTTAAAGCAGCACCCTCATTCTTTAAAATCAAAACGCTTCGTGGCAGAAACAGGTGAGGTGGCAGTACTTCCTTAGACGATCTCTTCACAAGGATTTCTATTGCTACAAAAATTTATAGTTGATGTAATTTAAGTGCGTCAGATACCGATTCTCCGAATTTCACATAACTATGAATACAACATTACTTGAGATATACTATTTAGTCTATCAGAACCTAGACCATATAAGATTAAAAGAAGGATAAACGTTCGAGTTCGCAAGTACTTAGACTTCTTTGAGACACATTTGGAACCTCCAACGCTGTTTCTTTTGTAATTCATGCCACTCGAACGCAGTGTTAGGGTCAAAGTTACGAGTTTTAATAACAGAATATATACAGCTGCGAAACAAAGATATTGAAATTGAATTCGGCTAAAATATGGCAACACCGTCCGGAGATTAAGGCTACGGCTTGGTTAACAGTATTCTGGCCTATTATCGTGGTAGACTTGGCAGACCGAAGTCCAAGTTCGTGTTTTAATTTGAATTCAAAATTAAATTGTATCGTAAGGCGACTTCGCACGGTCTGTGATTTTACTGATCACCTTGCAAGGGAAGAGTTTTAGAGGGAGGCAAGCAGTAAAGGTCCTTGTGAAAGGTTTACCTATTTTTTTTTACTTTACCTATTTTTTAATGTGAATTCTTATTCTAAAGGCTAGGGTGCTGGACTTGTCAACTTATGTCTCAGGATGACGGGTGCAGTGGCAGTGCCCTTTAGATTTTTGCGAGTTGAAGCTATGTGTAGCACTGCAACTGTGCGATAGGCGTGTCACTCACCACCAGGCACACGAATTGTTCGTACCGTCGCTAGATATCATAAAAAAGTGTCACCCTTGGTACCGCTTGGTCCGTCTTATTCCGTATTCCGGTGTATTTATCAATACAATGCGAAAAATATTCTGAGCCAGTGCAAGGTGAAGGGTTGCCATTATATAATTAGTTAATTATTAATATGAAAAGGTCGAAACGTCGATCGGTCAAAGGACATAGTATGTGCCAGGAAGTTTGTAAAATCGCGCACAGTGGAAGGCTAGCTTTTGGGCAATTCAATGGCCCCAGTAATATAATCCACAACCAATAATCGTGTATTATCAATACAAGAACAAACACTTCAATAACTCTGCACCTGATGAATTTATTTGAATAAAACTGTACATCGGAAACGATGGAAATAAACTAACCTGTGTTGTTACGTCGTAAGTTAAGTTTTAAATTTTTAAATGCGTATTATTTTATTCATACATTGTTTATAATTGTGTTTTCTGTAGAAAAAAACCTTTAAATATTTATTTTATTGAATATCATGTTTTTGTTACCATGATATTCATATTCTTTGATAATACTCTACCAGTTTGGTGTTATTGTTGATAAAAAGATCGATTCGAACCAGCACTGTATGCTAGACCAGGGCAAACCGCTCTCCCGACTGAGCTACGAAACGAATCAGCAGACCTCCCAAATATCTCTATGTGGCTTCGTTGCCGTAGCGCCACCTCTATGAAAGGTTTTTTCTCCATAGGTTTATAGCTTTTTAAATTCGATTTAAATAATAAAGTTAAAGAAACAATCACCCATGAGGTACAGTATGAAATCAAAATAAAATTAGGATTGTAGGTGTATCTTGCTGTGGTTGCGCTAGATATGTCTTAATCTCCTGAAATTTAGGATGTATCCGGACACTTTTCAGTACTATATACATATGATCGAAGGGCTTTGAGTTACATTATATAGTAATACTTCAACTATGGAACGTGTATTATGTGACTTCGCTAAATTCGTAAATGTCATCCATTACATGTAGAGTACCTAGAATACAAGCTTTGACAAACAAGATCAGCGTAAAAATGGTGCAACTCCACGAAATGCATATAGAAGGGTAAGAATAATACAATACAATACCACATATATTCATATATTCATAGCCTTGCACTATTGAAAGCCTGTATTGCGGGTGCTATGGACACACACATAGACAACAACGAATTACACCCAAACTCACGAGATAAATAAATGTGGGCCATACAAATATTTCTCTCGGTCCGGAATAGAATCCGGGACTTCTGCGTGGCAGACCAGCATGGTAACTGTTCGGCCACGGAGGCAGCTCATGAGGGATTTAAAATTGCCAATTCAACTTATATGATATAGTAATCACATATGATCCGTAGTAGTAATAATTACGTTTTTTATACATGAAAATAGCATTCAGATTTAAAATGATTAAGTTCATTAGTGTGCGGAAAATGCGAAAAGTGCGGAAAGTTAGTCATTATTCACGTGTCTCGAGGCTTCTTGGCCCGAGCCAGAGGCGAGGTTCAAGACTCGAGACAAGTGAAAATGACAAATACGCACGTGTATCAAACGACGTTTTTTAACACTTTTGCGAAAAAACTACATTGATAGTAAAATAAAACAGTATTTAAAAAAAAAATCATTTTATTTCTTTGGCTGATAAAAATTCAGAGTACAATGGCAACTGTCGCCACTATTCAGCCACATTAAAACTACTATTGTAGTGGCGCGGCGCGCAGCGGTCTCGCGTAATACTCACCTCCGGTCATTGTTAATACTCAATCAGCCATCTTTATGGAAAATATTTTGGTATTTTTAAATGTAAACCATTGCTTTATAAAACATCTATGCAATTTAAATAAACAAGATGTTTGTAAGTTTTATTGACGAATGACTTAAGTAAATGTACAACCATTTTAGTTCTATGTTTAAGACTTGAAACAACAGTAAATTTTAAAAAAATGGAAAAGTAAAAAGCACTAGTGCGACAAATCCAACTTTCGGCACGATTTGTAGTAAGAAAAATACCACGTTTTGAGCAACTGTATTAAAAAGTTTTTATTTATATAAAGTGACGAAACGAATAAGTCGTGCTCCTGATAGTAAACGACACGTCCACCCATAACAGTTGCAGTTCCATTCAGAGCTTTAAATCGCAAAGATCTGAGGGGCATCACCACTGCGCCCGTCACCCCGACATAAAGTTGTCAAGTCCCATGGGGTTGTAGTTTCACCAGCACCCACACCTTACAAAACCGGAAAATAGGAATGATCACATTACTGCTTGGCGGCAGAAACAGGTATGGTAGCAGTACATCCAGGGATGAACTCTTTCACAAGGAGCTCTACTGTTACTAAAAAGTCATATTGTAGAAAAACGTTAGTTACACCACTTTTCCGCTGACGGCCTCAATTATGACAGAACTACAAGGTTATTACTTGATATCGATTTGGACTGTACGTCGTGAAATACGAATTTAACAGCCTTATATACATACTGCCTTCAAGTTATTGCTTGTTCGGTGAGAAAATGAGTTTGAAAAGACGTAGCGCAGTATTTTCGAGAAGCTATCTACATTAATGTGCAAAAAATTAGATTATTAAGCAAATACTTGTTTAAACACAAGAGATATTTTTTTAAAACTTTGTGGCTTTTTTCTTTTTTATGATACGAAGAAACGGGACGTGCAAGTCGGGTGTCTGGTGCTAAACCACACGCCTGTCCATAGAAGTTGCAGTGCTACTCAGAGCTTTAAACCACAAAGGTCTAAGAGAAACTGCTACTGCGCCTGACACCCTGAGACATAAGTTGACAAGTCTCATGTGCATGTGATTTCACCAGCACTCTTAGTCTTCAAAACGGCAGAAATAGGTAAGGTGGCAGTACTTCCTTTATAAAAGCACTTTTGGCGTTGCATTTGAAGCCATTACATGTGCCTTCGTTATGCCAAATACACCTGTTACACCTGTAATTAAATTTACATAAAAGCAATCAAAACATAGTAATACAACCCGCATTGTAGCTACACGTAATATTGTTTTCATGCAAGTACATATATGTACATTCGACGTATTCAAACTGGCGTATGTATTAAGAGGGTCTAAATAACACATTAGTGGCGCTAATTTGTGGTTGAAGGATACGAAATACGGGTGAAACTCGTAACAAACTAGCAACGTGTAATACAATGTTTCATAGCGCATGCATAATGTTGTCGACATGCGTAGAGCTATCAAAAACTAGTTTATATTCATCAAGGTCTCAAACTTTATGAACACAGATTTATTCTAAGCATAAATAAGGCTGAAGGTCGAAAAAATATAACCTTAAAAATGTTACATCAATGAAAAAATCTTCAAAATTGACATTTTGTGATATTAAAATAGTAAAGACATGAGGAAAAAAGAGAATTTCGCTTTTATGAAGTCCGTTAAAAAGGCAGCTGGTTAGCAGTCGTGTTTTAATTCGAACTTTCAGAAAACTTAATTTTCGAGATGATTTTATTACTCTGGTCGTTTTGTACAGAGATATTGTTTTATTGATTTATATGGTCATTATAGTGAGCATGAAGAAAGAAATTTAGTAGACGTAGAGCTCGTTGTGAAATATTTCGGCTGAAATAGGCAAAGTGGCAGTATTCCCTATACTGCCACTTTGCCTATTTCAGCCGCCAATCAACAATGTGAGCATTAACGCGTTCCGGTTTTGAAGGGTATGGGTGCTGGTGAAATTACAAGCACATGGGACTTTCCAACTTAATTCTTAAGGCGACAGGCAAATGTTTATTTACGAAAAGCAACCCCTACAGTTTCT